GTTGGGTTATACCAGAATGTTTTAACTTCTTGATGTAGAAGGTAAGACGGAATATGAGACGACCAGGAGAGATCAGCGGATAGAATGACGCTTAGGTATTTAATTTCCGATTTGGTTTCTATTTCAGTGCCGTCTATGTTGGTCTATTGGCCATCAACAATTGTTTGAGTTTTGATATTCTCTAGATTAATGTTCGCCTTGATGACATTTCCAAATGATTCTTAGACATCACATGTCTGTTGATTCCACTGATTTACTAGTGATATGATCACAGAGTTATCATACGGTCTGTGATAAGGATTTCGTCAATAGCAGACAGCTGTTACATATCCGTAGGAAAACAACAACGGCAGATAATTACCTTCATTGGGCATATTTCTTTGTAATAAGCCTCTTTCATTATAAAAGAGTGTTTTGAAACAAGCGTGTATTGTTGTTTTTTCTCGGTGGAATGTCAATCACAAAAAGTTATTTTCAATTTGAATGACTTTCACAGTAGTACTGCCACATGACAACATCACTGACATGTGGCTCGTACACTTTTCAAGTATGGATATTTTTTTGCCACAAATCAACATCAGTGAGAAAATCGCTTAAAACTAATAGTGATACACTGAACAGGTGTTTCATCCCAGTTAGGAACTCCTCAGTTGTGCCCACCCACGACTAAAACAAAGAGAATAATCATGGATTTGAGGTAAAGAATCCAAATTGTTGACCAATCAGATACTGGGTTAGAACGTTTATCAATCTGCAGTAGTTGTACTTCTGTAAACAACACCTAACTGTTTTTTCTTGTAGACAGTAGGTCAATCATGAACAGTTGTCTTATAACATGGAAAGATGTTACCGTGGTAATGTCACATGACCTTATTATTTATAATACGGTCTTTAGAGGTTTCACTGTAGACTTTTCAAAATCCAGTATCAGTTAGAGGAGAATCACTGAAAATCCCAAAGCTCTGCACAGCTGTATCGTTCCAGACTAACAATCTGCAGAAGCGTTCACCAATCTCTCCTTAACAGGGAGTGAATGAAGGTAGCAAGGTTAGCTGGCTAACTATTCACCTACTCGACTGGAATTTAAAAACGTGTTAATTCAAGTCTTTATCATTTGTCGATAAAGTGCCACCATGACCCAGTGCTATGGATGGACTTGTTCTTCATCCTGACATGGACGGCCCCAAAGGATACAACTTCATTTTAGAGATTCAGGACATCCATCCTACATCCTACTAATCAAGTGGAGACCACCACCTGAAATTTCAGTAGTTATAAACGGATGAAAACAAAATTCTTCGATGTTTCTGGATATACATGGTCTTTTTCGGTAGCAGGTACAGTAGAAGGAGAGAAAGAAGGTCTCCTATCCAGTTTTCTGAACACTACGCAAGGGATTCATGCCACAAAAGAGAAGTAGGCATTCACAAAGTGTAATTTTCAGTTAATGGTGTTCTCTAAGTTGGTTGGTTTATTTGTGGAACTTTCGTTGTCCTTCTGGACAGCATCCCCCTTCATCGCAATTTTTAGCATAAAGTGAACTGATTTAAAATAAGAATGGATATATGCACAATTTCATCAAAAAGTGTTTAAAGTTGAATCACAACACCAACAAGGAACCATCATCACAGGCAACAAGAAAATTCATCCTACAATATATAAAAAATATCTCTGAAATAACAGCTAGAATAGTGAAACCGTTTGAAATAGATATAGCACACATGCCAGCCAGACAGCACGATCACTTCATTCGATATTGTGCAGACGGAAAACCCAACAGAAAAAGGAGATGAAATTAGTACCATTTACAAAATAAATTGTATGAACTGTGACAGACATTACATCGGTGGTCGAAGTGGGCGTCCCCTTCGAATCAAAATCCGAGAACACAAATCAGCCGTGAAAAGATATGATATATATTCTTTCAAATCAATGCATGTAGATAATTATGGATATCAGTTTGATTGCGATAATGTCGAAATTTTAGACAGAGGAAACACCAAAAGTCCCAGGGAATTCCTAGAAGCATGGTACTCAAACGAATATGCAATTAACAAACATGTTAACATAGACCAAATCTATCAAGTAAATCATATGACGAGAAAGTTTAAAATCCAAGTCAATAGGACATGATCAATACAGATTTAAAAATGGTTACCGGGAGACGCAATTCTATCACTCATGGAAAATTTAAAATCAGCTTGCGCTGAAGGGGGGTGTTGTCCGTAAGGACAACGAAAGCTCGGCAACTAAACCAACCAGCTCAAAGAGCACCATTAATTGCAAATCATCCACCTGAGCTACAAATCTTCTCTATTATTGCAAAGTGTAATTATGAGACATCTTGTGGATACGGGGAATTTTGTCAAGATTTCCAAATCATTTGAAATATTAAATATACAAAGGACAGTAAATTTACAACGATTTACTGAAACGATTGTAATTAAACATTTTTCAACCAAACTTTTGTATACAGAAAGAGAGTATGGTTGAACATATTTTGATTTTGATTATAGTGATTGCGCAATCACCTATATTACTGAGACAAAATCAATCTTATGAACCACAGAACTTTGTGAGTTAAAACTGTTTATTCATTTCTCTAATTTTTGTATTCTCCTACCCTTCAAAATGCATGTGAATTGCTGATAACTTAAATGATTGTGATACTTACGCCCTATGGATCTCAATTTACAAGATTTTCTTTGTCAGCATTCCAACAACGATGAGTATTGCATTCATTCCCTTACATTACCGTTGTAATTTCAGGTAGTTATCTGCAGCTGATAAGAGGGAAATTGTGAAATAAAGCAGTGATATCATTTTATACTGCGTGAATTCGGTCTTTTGATGTTTTGTAGGAATTTATTAAGCTAACCTCTTCCACTTGTGCAACTGCACCGTGTCGTTTCAACTACAAGAAGCAGCACGGAAGGGGATGTCAAATCCAGTCAAGGTTGAATTATTAGTGTGAAATATTCCCATATCATGAATTAAAAGTCAATCTGAAAGAAGAATATTCTTTTCAATAACTTCTCCTCTTCAGGTTCTTACAATTATAAAATATAATATTTTTTTGTCATTACAACAATGACAGCCAGTTATGCGGAGGATACATTTTATTAAAGTGGAATAACAGATTACTGATAGGGTGTCAAAATAAATAGTCGTATTTGTGTGACAAACGTCGTGCTCTGGGTTGAAATCGATTACAAAATATCTTGCAATGGCAGACAATGATGGTGGTGATGAGTCATAATAGATTTGTAGAGTATGGCGTAGGAAAACTGACAAGTCAGTTCAAGGTTATAAAAGGTGTCAGGTGATGGAGTGTCTAGTGAAAAGCGGTATGTATTAAAGAGGAGGAGATAGTAAGACTGCAATGAGAGGTTCTTCATGAAATAACGAATGTTTGAAATGAAACACGTGGGGGCATATATTGGGAAGAGAGATAATTACACTAATAAGAAATCCGGATAGCATAAGTGGAAAATTCGATAGTATTGAATGTTTGCATGAAGGGCATAAATTATGACGAATAATAATATTTGTAATAATAAGTAAAGGAAAAAAACCAGGAGGGTTAAGGGGAAGGAGCACTCTTGGTGAGAAGAAGAATCATCAACCCAAGTTCGGCCACGGTAGGAACAGCGTCTGAACGTGTCCATTTTGGATGCAAATTTTCGCTTTAGTTGAACTTATCGCAACAGCTTCAGCTATGTGTAGGAGACGTGAGCGAACTGTACGTGATAACGACGTAGAAATTCGGTATATAACTCTGAAAGCTGAGTTGAAATCGATGCTATGTGACAGGATCGAGCTTTTTATACACTTAATTTCCCTCCTGCTGAACCAATCTGGTAAATGTTCTCGAACCTGTGAACAAACCTGCCTATTCATGAGCCCTATATAATTTGAACCACAGGAACAGTTGAAGTGGTGTATGCATGAAGAAGAGCTAAGGTTAAGTAATACATTTTTGAGCTGCTGGGTGAATATTGGACGGCTACTGAAGCATAGACACAGACGTGCAAGAGTAGAAAGTTTTCTTGATCGCCCTGGTTAGCAAGATAGATCTTCGTCACTCTGAAATCTCTGCTGAAACTTACTGCACTCAATATAAGGAACAGAGAGCAGATTTTCACAACTGATTTCAAGTCAGACGGTGATTCTATGTGATTTAGAGATTTGTAGCTTCAGTTAGGAAATGTAGTCGCAGCAATCTACTTGGATTTTCTTTAACAGCTGCATTTGCTCCCCATCACAACTCACTTCACCAATTTGAAAAAAAATGGAAACACAGAACTCTAGAATTTAATTGGTGGATGGTGGCAAGCAGTGGAATCCAGCCAGGATGCGCATTTTGTCCTATTTGTGACTCGTCAGGTGGCCTAGTGGATAACGATGTTTTGGCGTTTGAAACTATAGACATTGGGTTCGAGCATCGGTGGGAACATTATCATCACTCACTGGGAAACGCAGGTACATCCAGCTGGTTGAAGAGTCCCGAATAGGACGAAATGCAAATTAAATTCTAATTAAATGCCCAGACGTCGTCGAACCATCTTCAGAAGAAGCCGACATGTCAACCTGAGACCGAGTACTTCGGTCCAGTCAGACAGGAAAATCTGAAATACGATTAAACACAGAACTCTGTCACAGAACCAACTAGAAAACCTATTGCCAAACAAACATTCCGGGGGTGGGGAAGCTGAATAGAGTTGGAATGGACATACTGTAAGAAGACCATTTCTTGAATGGGAAACCAGAAGAGTGATATAGAGGATATCATGTAAGCATGGAATGAACACTTCTTAGGAATCAATAAGCCAGGTAAAAATTAGCTGCGAAAAACGCAGTGAAACGAAGATATAGCACTGAAGCCCTATTTTCACCTCTGAACTCAAGGGAAAAAAGTAACGATCAATAGGAAATTATCTAGGGAACCAAATATCTCAAATTATTTAATCAATAAATTCTACAGGCAATTAAAAAAACACTTATAAAGACTTACTCTCACGTTTCATTGGCATTTCGATATGATGAGTAGAAGTACAATTTGAACAATTAAATGAGTATAAATTATACATTTGCATGTCATTATTTGCAGTAATATTACCTGTACTACTAATATTCGCATAAAAAGTAGTAGTAGTAGTATTTATCGTTGTATCCACTGATGATGGCAAAGAAGAAGTCTTATCAGTTAATTTTTGTAACATTGCATACGGGATACTTAAAATAAACCCAATGACAATAATAAAACTACAAGCCAGCGTAGCTATCCCAATTCCACCGTCTGATCGACATCTCAACGGCCAAAATAAACAATTCACTCGATCTATACTGAATGCTACGAGTAGACAACCGGAATTGAATACAAACCAACAACCAATCAACTCCATGATACGACATGATGTTAATGAGTAGGTGTCTAATTTTATCATAATTCTTTCATTTGTTAGATAGTATAATCCACGGCCGAGAAAATCATCTAAAAATGTATTCGATATGAGTACAAGACTGTCGGAGATAGCCAGTGTCATAACATAAATTGAAAAACGATTAAATGGTTTATGCGTTAAAAATAAATAAAATGCTGACATATTTCCAAATACACCGAATAGGACAATTATAGGACTAATATAACCACGTAGAAATCCAACTGCATGTTCCATATTTTTCACATGGATTGAACATTCATCAGGCGGGAATTTAATTTCACGCGATACTTGTACATTTGAAAAATTTAAAGACATTCTTTTGAGGTGACTGTAGAGCAACTTTAAAGCATTTGAAGTAGTAGTTATCAAGTTATTTATTATTCAATTTGTCTTTATGATATTAAACCTTATAAGTGAACATTTTTGAAAGATTGTGATACTGTTACCGGTTTTTATTTTGTTGTGTTTAAATAAAAGTAGATGAATCATAAACAAAGTGTAGGAAGGCTGTGATTGGTTAATATTCACACATAATTCGTGTGTCTGTTTATCCATCACCATGGTATGTTCATTGCTTGCTTTATTTTGATTGGATAACAGGTGTCTGTCATTCTCTAGACAACCCAACTAGTAGTTAGATAATACTGATAGAATTTAACGTTGCAAGACAGATGATTGATCTAGAATGACAAGTGGAACAAGTGAAATAATACCAGGGACGGTTCAAAGTAAAAATAGTAATAGTAACAATTGACGTAATAAAGGAAGAGAATACAAATTGAATAGACAAAATGAAAAAAAATATTGGTAGAGCCGAAATATGACTAGGGATTACCATACTTTGGCATAGAGGGATTAATAGCATGACAGTTGGAGGGAAGGGGTTGAGCGAACGTTTTTCTGTATAAAGAGATTTGGCTTTTCTGTTTCGATAGTCAAAACGCCAGCAATACACATGAGTCAGGTACGTAGTGATTTTGATAAATTACTTTTTTACCTTGTAGATGATTTTAAAGGCGAAGGCTGTAGAGATAGGGTGATCATTATCTACCAGATATTCGATGATCGCGCTTCTTATTGCTCTATTTTCACCTCTTCGTAACAACCATGCAGTTTAGTGTTCTTGCACCCTGCTGGACAAAACTCCAATCGAACAACCGATATACCGTGCTCCACACGAGCAGGTGAATTGATAAACACGCATAGAGTTGGTCAACAGCAGGATCATGTCCTTCAGGTTATTGAACAGTAATGGTCGACTGGTAGAGGCTGTTCTCAAAGGTGCAGCAGTGGATTTCTTCCTGTATATTTGCTGTACAATTGCTTCCTGCTGACTTGGTTAGTTGGTTGGTGCGTTCGTTCGTTCATTGTCAGAGATCCCTCTCTGTTGCCTATGTTTGCTGGCCGGCCATCTGATCTTGAGTAGCATTGAACGAAGAGAGCTGTTGATAAAAGTCTCTACTTTGTTCGAAATGCTCTTCATGACGTGCAGTGCAAGTCTCTGATCCAAGTAGTAGTACCGACATCACACTGGAGTTGAAAATGCAGATCTTATTTTTCATGCTGAGTGCTGTTGTATTGATAAATATTACCAGGTTTGTGGAAAAACTGTATATATAAATCCGATTTAACAGGTAAAGAAAATGAAGTCACTGTGAAGATCCTCTTCGCTGAACTATTTGTTTTGCTTTTCCACTAACGCCTGGATGAGGATTATTCACCAATTCTGATAGTCATTTATTCTAATTGAATCTTTCATTGTCACCGTATCAATTGATTTTTAATAACACAATAGACATAGTAAGCATAAAGGTATACAGGATAGGTTAAATTTCAAAATTTGACGGCACGCTTTACAGGCAAGTGGAATGGGTGGCGATGGGATCCCCATTTGGTTTCATTTTGGCTGATTTTTTTCTAAGTAAGCTAGAAAATGGACCTTCGAACAACCACCTTACCAGAAAATTCTCATTTTATTGCCGGTGTATGGATGACACCTATATTCTTTGTGATGGTGATTCGGATAGGAACACAATAATAACTGAATTCAATGTAGCACATTATGAAATGAAATTCATGTGCAAAGAGGAGTCCTAAGACAGAACTTCCTTACTGGTTGTCCTACTTACAAGAAAACCAGATGGTAGCATAAAAAGAAATTTGCATAGAAAAAGTACTTGGAAAGGGCAATATACACATTTTCACAGCTTCGCTCCTCCCAAGAACAAAAGAAATTTAGTGGAGACCCTCAGCCACAGAAGGAGAGCTATGTGCTCAGAAGAAGTAACTGAAGATGAATTTAGCATTGTATATGATAACTTGACCGAAAATAGCTATCCCAACAAATTTATCAAGAAAGAAATGACAAAAAAATGCGGCGGAAAGGACTACTCACTATCCGTAAACAAAAAGCCTTTATATACATACAACTGCAAACCAAGGGCGATATACCAAGCGCGAAATAATCACGAAGAACTTTTGATGCTAGTGAACTATACATCTTATTCTCTACACAATCGATGGTGATTCCTCGACTGAAAGATGCAGTCGAGGACAGGCAGACTAGATAGCTACTTCCAATTGTATTTATCAATTCAGCTGCACTTGTGGTGGAGTGAGTTATATTGGCTGTTGCTCCAGGAACTTGGTTTTTCGTGCTCGATAGAGAACATCTCTCACTATGGCTAAGTAAAGGTGCAGTAAAAACCCCAGCAGTTCGATATTATATCACCTGTTCCAAACCGGCCGCAAAGCCAGCCAGCATTGAAGATTCCTTCTCTATCATCTACCGGGTACCGAGTAAATTGCCAAAAACATTGAAGTACAGCATGCTCCAAACAGCAGAGGCTATCGCGATTCGCGTGAAACAACTAGTGCTCCGTGTGCAGAAGAAACAAGTCCAGCCAGCCACTACTACTGCCCTAGTTGGCCGTAAGTAGAGACTAAAAACTCATGAATTTGTAGTATTATCTTTCCAAATGTTTTTTCTGACATTTAGCTTGTTTTATATTTGTGCTATTGAGCTGTAATCTTTTGATAATATTATTGATTCGATGTTATTTAAACAGCAACATTAATGTTGTTCATAACACTAATTCATTCATTCACTATAATGTATATATAACGGTAGAACCTGATGAAGAAGTGGTTATCGAAAAGAGTATTCTTTGTTCAATATGCATTTTTTTTGAAAAGTAATCAATAAAAAGTGACCTTGGAGTCAACCAACCCAGTTATTTGTGTATATATAACTTAAATCTTGTACTGATGTTTTATGAGTTTAAAGCACATTTCGATTCTTCCAGATGTTGATATGGTTGTTTTTTGTGAACACATTTGCTACAGATGTTGTTTGGATTGTTGATTGCTTTTCATTAGGCCATTGCTTTTTTTCTCCTGATAATAAAGTGTGGAAAAATAGTTTCCCTCCATTTCCTTCATACCTTTTAGTAGGTGAAGATAATAGGTTAACTTAGGACTCTAAAAGTTGCCATTCACATGTTTCACCTTACATATTAAAAACTAGAAGAGATAACATTCGGTTATATAAGTCCAAACCAAGTTCACTTTTAACAGTTTGAAAAAATTTGGGCATTGGGTATATGATATTCATTATAATAAAGGTATTTTGTATTTTCCAATGAATGAAAAACAAAACGATACTGTTTTTACTGACGTTTCTTAGACGAGCACACTCTCTGATGTTAACGGATGAGAAGAAAAAAAGAAGAAGAAATATCAAACATTACTGAAATTCTCAAGCAAAACAACTACCCAACGAACTTCATCAAGAAAACCAACAATGACATTAAGTTTGGTTGAAAAAGTATTCCGAAAACATAGACGTCAACAGTTATCATTCCATATAGACCGGAGACGTTGGACAATATATATCAGAAGAGTACTCAATAAGCTTGACATCAGAGTTTTCTTCACAATATATAAGGCCAAATCCCTAAAGTTTCTCTATCTGATTGTGTCTATAATTTTTTAATACAGACTGTGAGCATCCACTTTAACCCGCAGCTCCAACCTTATGTCTCAACTTCTGGTAAAACAAGGAGTCTTTTCAGAAGAATTTATGCACGTACATTTCAGTTTAAGAATTCCACTATACCATATTTGGCATGTACTTTATGTGATGAAAATAGTTTTGGGCATGAACTAACCAAACTTCTTTGCACTAGTGAATAAACCTTTTCCTCCACCCTTACAACATCAACCTTTATTGTTGTTGTACTTCTTATATTTGTAATCCTCTCAATTTTTTGTTTTTATTTGTTTATTTTTTCAAAAGTGTGAACATCATTTAAGCTGTGTTATAACTGTTATTTCTTGTCTTTCCCTTCACCATGCTGCTATATCAACAGAACATTGGATTCAATACTCTGTAACATGCTGAAATTTTCAAGCTGAATCGACAGTGCTGTTTGAAACAAACTCACTGTTATTCTTATTCTTCTTATTATTATATTTAATATTCTCAATTCGTACTTGGAATATTTTTGACTTTATAGCGTAAATGTGGACAAATTCCTCTGGTTAATTTTGTTTTAATTTTTAATTTTATTCATATTTTGAGTAAATCAGATGCAAGGTGCTGTGACAAATGCTGAGAATTCCCTTCTGTATTATACTTACTGTTTTTGGAATAAAGTAGATTATTATTACCTGAGGCCTGTGTCAACCACCGAGTAGATGTGCTGGAATCATCCAAAATAATTAACAGACAAAGTACTTCAAGTCTTCTCAGGTTGGCTGAAGCTATAGCAATAAAGCGATTGAAGCCTGACTTATGTGTCCAAAAAGAATCCGTTGTTGGACTTCAATTACACTGCTGACTCACGTCTTAGTAACTCTTTGTTTTCTAGTTTTTTAACTTATATTTTCACTCCCCTCCACCTTTATTTTTCGCTTAACTCTCTTCAGAGATAATTTTTCTTGATCTTCTGAGTTCTGCTCACTGTATTACATCGTCAACTTCTCATGTGACCTCATGTGCACCGAAATTTTGATCTTCTCTTATCTAATTACGTAAGTATTACTAATTTTCTCTTGTTATCACCCCAACAACACAAGTGTTAAATAATTGTTTTCAAGAAACTTCTCTCTAACAAGATATAATAATAATAATGATTTACTTTATTCCAAAAACAGTACTTGTGATACAGAATGGAATTTTCAGCATTAATCACAATATTGCATCTAATTTCCTCAAATTATAAATAAAATTAATCACAGAAAATTTTTCTACATTTACAATAGGGTTAATATAAAAAAATAAAAAAACATGCAGCATATAAAATGGAAATAAT